TTAAAAAAGAAAAAGCCTAGGCCTGACAGCTTGACTGCTGAATTCTACAAGCAGTTTAGAGAAGGCCTAACACCACTACTTCAATGAAATTGAAAGGGAAGCAGTACTTCCAAATTCATTCCTGCAAGCAAGCATTACCCTGACACCAAAACCAGAGTAGGACTCAACTAAGAGAACTGCAGGCCCATCTCCCTAATGGACATATATGCAAAGATCCTGAAAAAGCTACTGGCAACCATAATGGAGCAAGACATTTAGAAGACTCCGCACCATGACCAAGTTGGATTCATCCCAAGGATGCAGGGATGGTTCAACATATGTCAGTCAGTTAACGTAACACATCCTATTACAGCACCAGGAGAAAAGTCATATGATCATGTCATTAGACACAGAAAACGTTTTTGACAAAGTCCAGCACCCATTTGTGATAAAAACTGTATAGAATATTGAAATAAATGGTGTTTACCTCAATATGATAAAAGCCATCCATGACAAACCAACAGTGAACATTATACTCGTTGAGAAAAAACTGAAACTTTTCACTCTAAAATAAGGAACAAGACAAGGATGTCTATTGTGTCCACTCTTGTTCAACACAGTTTTGGAAATTTTAGCCAAAACAGCTAGACTGGAGAAAGAAGGAATAACGATAGCAAAGGAAGAAGTTAATTTTTATTATTTGCAGATGATATAATAATCTACATAGAAAACCTGAAAAACTTCAATGAAAACTGCTTAGATTTGTTGCCGGGGCTTCAGCTCAGCAGCGTAAGCGCCTGCCTAGAAAGCGTGAGGTCATGAGTGCGATCTGCGATACCAAGAATAAAAAATCTGCTTACATTTAGTAAGCACATTCAATAGCATAGCTGAATATGGAGTCAGCACTCAGAAAGCCATAGCCTTCCTGTACATGAACAACAACTCAGAAAAATCAGGGAAGCACGCTTTTACAGTAGCTCCAAAAAAGAGAAATACCTAGGAATCAATTGAATGAAGGATGTAAAAGGCCTCTACATTGAAAACTATAGTTCTCTGAAAAAGGAGATTGATGAGGATATTAGAAAATGGAGAGATATCCCTTATTCTTGGGTAGGAAGAAACAATATAATGAAAATGGCCATACTTCTAAACCATTACACAGATTCAACGCAATCCCAATGAAAATTCCAATAGTGTATCTCACAGAGTTAGAGAAAACCTAAAATTCATCTAGAACCAGAAGCGACCTAGGACAGCAAAGGCAAACCTGGGCAACAAAGACAAGACAGGGGCATCACAATCCCTGACTTGAAATTATACTGTGAAGCTATTGTGATTAAAAACAGTGGTTCTGGCAAAAAGCAGATTGGAGGGTCAGTGGAAAAGATTAGAAAGTGCAGAGACAACTCCACACACACTCAGCCACTCTATCTTTGACAGAGATGTCAAACTGATTCACTGGAAGACAGACAGCCTGTTATAAACGGTGCTGGAAAAACTGGCTCTGCACATGCCGAAGATTAAAATGGACCCCTAGCTTTCATCATGCACTAAGCTAATTTTAAAATAGATCAAGTATCTAAGTATTAAAACAGAAACATTAAGTCTGCTTGGAGACAGAATAGGGAAATCTCTTTGAAACACTGGTGTAGGCAAAGATTTTATGAATAAAACCTGATAGCACAGAAACTATCACAAATAATCAACAGCTTGGCTCATATTAAGCTTTTGCACAGCAAGAGAAGCCACCAGCAGTGAACTGACAACCCACAGTGTGGAAGAAAATGTTTGCCAGCTGTTCCTCAGATAAAAGGTTACTATCAAGAACATATGAACAACTAAAAAAACCCAGACATCCCAAATTTAAATCCAAAAATGGGTATCTGAGATGAATATACATTTTTAAGAACTACAAAATCGCAAATAAATATGGAAAAATGTTCAACATCACTGTTACTCAAGAGATTCAAGTTAAAACAACACTGAGATTTCATCTCACCATAGAAAGAATGGCTGCCGTCAAGAAATCCAGCAATAACAAATGCTGGCGGGACTGAGGGGCAAAGGGACCCTTTCCACTGCTGGTGGGAGTGCAGACTGGTGCGACCGCTGTGGAACTCAGTGTGGAGATTCATACCGAGTTGGATCAGAGGTCCCATTAGGTGTAGCTGTCCCCCTCCTGAATTAAAAGCATCACACCGTAGCCATGTGTGTGCACCCGTGTTTACACCGCACAGTGTACAATAGCTAAATCTTGGAAACAGCCTCAGTGCTCCTCAGCTGAGGCGTGGATAAGAAGATGTGGTCTCTTTATTTGATGGAGCACTCAGATACGAGGAAGGATAAGCCTGAGGATTTTATAGGTGAATGGGTACAGCTTGAGACCACATTTGTAAGTGAAATAAACCCAACTTGTGTGTGTAAACATTGTAGTGTTTCCCTAGTGTAAGAAACTGAAAAAGTAAATAAAGTCCAAAGTGTACAGTGGATATTGTAAAATTGAAAGAGATTGTTCAAAAGCAAAGTGAAACTGAGATGGGGAAAGGAGAAAAGGATGGAAAAAGTAAAAAAAAAAAAAAAATATATATATATATATATATATATACACACACACACACACACACACGTGATAGTTATAGTAAAACTAATTTCTCATAGTTCATTGAAAAGGTTTATGCTAATACTCTTTGGCCAATGAGATGCCTGTATTTTGTACTCTGGGGAACTGAAGAGAACAGTACACACTGCATTAACCATCGTTACTCTCCTATTACCTGGTCTTGAAATTCTGTTATTTTTTTCTCTTTAAAATAGAATTTTAAAAAGATAGCAAAGATGGCTCTTGCAGATGGGAAGGGGAGCAGGTGGATGCAGGAAGACGTGGGTGTGTTACGCGCAGAAACCAACTCCCTGCGAGGGACGGGATCGTTACGCGCTGCGAACACGCGCTGAGCAAACAGACTGCTAAGAGCTGGTGATACTAAACTCAACAACTCAGGCCTGTTACAAACACAGCGAGGGGAGGATTGTAAACAGCACACAGTGCACACAGCTGGCAGGAGACCAACATAAAGAACAGAGGTGTGCACATAATAGATGTAAACGTAGAGTCACATATACAGTGCACGGGACACACGAAACCCCACAGATGTGCCCCTAGGCATTCGTGCAGTGATTGTCGACAGTCTCCCTGTGTAATCTGGGCTGGCCTCCTGCCTTAGCCTGCCGAGGGCTAGGATGACAGGCACTTACCACCATCTGGCTCATGCACTAGTCGTGTAAAAACGAGCAGAAGACACAAACCATGGTTGCAGTCAGAACCACACAGCTAGCTACTTGGTGTAATTTGGAACCCAGGAACTTCTCAGAAGGCTGAAGAGCCACTGTTTTACACCTGATTCAAGTGGCAGCGAGACGTTGACAGCGATGTGTGTAGCTGTGGAGGGCTGGGAACTAGTGAACTACTTGGAAAACACATCCTCTCTTGAAATTGCAAGCAGCTGAGCCTGGTGGCATGGGCTTGTAATCATGGCAGTGTGGGAGGCTGAGGCAGGAGGATGGTGAATGTGAGCCCAGCATGGGAGACTGAGCGACTTTTAGTGCTACTGTGACTCCAGGCCCACCTTACTCTGTAACGTAGCTCCTGGGAGGGACTCCTGCACACGTGTGACGGGCTTAGTCTATGCCCGGCCCACACCTGTGCTCAGCAGCCTGCTCCTAACTGCAGAGACAGTGACCTCAGCATGGCAGGAAGGGAGCTGTGGTGACTTGCACAGTGAGGGCGGAGTCATGGTGGCAGCCTCCAGCAGCGCGGCCGAGGGTTATGTTGAACCTAGTTATGTGCACTTCAAATGCCACTGAAGAGCTGAAGACGCTCTCCTGGGTCACCCGTCTCTCTCACTAACACCACACACACCGTGCTCTTCCCAGAAGCAGCTGATGCACCTACGCCCACTCCTGCCTGGGGGTCCCTTCTGCTGTCCTGGCCCTGGGACCCGTGACTGTGTCCCAGTGAGGTGGGGCAGGGCAGGGGCTGTCGGTGTCACCTCAGAAGTGAGTGTTTGCTGACAGCTCTTCAGAATCACCCGCCTCCCTCCTGGTGACCTCTGCCTTAGCTGTGTTAACAGAGTCCTGCCTGTCCAGACCTGGATGCGTACTGGCTCCTGGGGAGATCTCGAGGGCCCAGCTCTGCCCTTTGCTAGTCCTCCTGGTAGCCTAAGCCCAGGTGTGGGCTTGTCCCCTCCTGCCCAGACCAGCCTCCCTGCCTCTGGTCCTTTCTCCACACTGGCGCCAGATCTTTCAAGAGATGACTCCTGACCCCATTTCTCCACGATTAGAAAAGGGGCTGGGAGCACAGCTCAGTGCCCATCCTGCTCAGGGCCCGGGTTCCAGGCTTGGCACCATAAAGCAAAACCACCCCTGCACAGTCCTGCGCTGCCCTCTGGACCTGACTCTCCATCTCTGCAGTGACGTGCGGGCGGTCTACCCTGCAGCTGCTTTGAGAGCTGGGGAACATGCTGTCACATCAGCACTTAGCACCTTCTCAGCCCCTCTGCTCCTAGACCGTGTCTGCCACCCGTGCTTCTCACTGGCCCTCCAGCTCCAGCACCTCACACTGTAGGCAGCTTTTGCCGGAAGGCCAGGCCTCAGGCATTTTTTAATGATAGCTTTGGGAGTGATGTACGTGTGTGTGTGTGTGTGTGTGTGAGAGAGAGAGAGAGAGAGAGAGAGAGAGAGAGAGAAAGAGAGAGAGACAGACAAACAGACACACTGGGGATCTAAGTTCACGGGGCCTTGTGCACGCTAGGCCAGCACTCTACCACTACAGCTGCAGCCCTTTCCATGTTAGAGACGGGTCTCAGCAAGTTGCCCAGGCTGGCCTCCAATTTGTGATCCTGTTGCCTCAGCCTCCCAGGCAGCTGGGATTACAGGTGTTCCCAGGCCCAGGAACGCTGATTTTTAAAGATGATGAGGATAAGCTGGCCACCTGGAGCTGAGCGGGTCCCCGGGGCCTCACTCACCGTGTTGAAATACTCGACACCGGTGGTTTCGAATGCCTGGGACACAGCTCGGGTGGTGGCCACACAGGCCACAGGGTGGCCATTGCCGATGGACTTGCCCATGGTGACAATGTCGGGGACAAAGTCCTCCCCCTGCAGCTGGAAGGCCCAGAAGTGCTTGCCTACCCGGCCGAAGCCAACCTGGATCTCATCAGCCACGAAGACCGCTCCGGCCCCGCGGATGTGCCTGCGGCAGAGGACGGGGCTGATGGGCTGGGAGCAGGCACTGGGCCTGGCGGGAGGTCCTGGGGCTCCATCCTGGCCCTGCACAGTCAGGTGGGGGCTTGGGCGAAAGGCTGGCTTTCTGAGATCTCAGGCAGGCAGGCTGGCTGCGGCTGGGATCTGGGCAGGGCTACCACCTACTCACTGTGCCACGAGGGAGAAGTACCCTGCAGGGGGAATGATCTGCCCACCAACGCTGGGCAGCGACTCCGCGAAGAAGGCCGCGATCTGTGAACAAGATCGAAGCCAGAGCACAGCGGGGACCCGGTGCGCACCAACTCCAGCAAGGTGCTGGTCCCCAGCAGGACAGTCCCCTCCCTGCTGCATCTCTGCTGGGCTCTTTGTCACCTCTGAGGGTTGCAACTCAGTTTCTATTTCTGGTCTTAATCAACTCTGACCACCTGGATGCTGATAACCCCCAAGAAGAGGCTCTTTCCTTGGCCCTCTCTGGTGACCAGTGCCATTCTCATCCTCCGAGACAAAGGTGGTACCCAGCCTGAGCGCCCCTGGCCCTCTCACAGGGTGCTGCGATGGCCGAGTCTGGATGTCGGCCGAGCCCCATGTGGTCCTAGGTGGGGGCACAAAGGATGGAAAATGGGCCTGCGCCCCAGCTGCAGCGGAACCCTGTTACAGAAGACAGCCCCCCATGCTGGTTCTGCCCACCTTTGGATCCACTGCCTTTACCCGCTGCACCAGCCTCCTGCAGTGCAGGGCTGGCTCTGCCTCTGTACCCTGCCTTCACCAGGAAGCCAGCCCTAGCCTCCTCACTGAGCCCTGAAGCTCTGTTCACTTTCAAAGCCACCCTGCACACAGCCCAGGGAGCCCCGTCTCCCACCCTCCCTTCCCCAGGCGTTCAGGGGTTCTCTGCCCGCTTGGTCCAGGCCTGGGCCTGGCTACATAGTCCGGCCCGCAATCTGGAGGCCTCACCTTTGCACGTGCCATCCCTCCTTGCCTGCTCCTTGGCCTGACCTACTGGTCAGTACTGCAGCCAGGGTATCTCAAGGACATTCCTGCACACCCAGCCCCGGCCAGCTGGGACCCGGGCCGCCTGTGACACAGGGTGGACCTGCCTCCCCATGCTCACTGACGCACTCCCCCACTCCCTCACGCTGGAACCCAAAGGGGTGAGGCTGTGTCCTGCCTGCGTCCCAGCATCTAACCCAGCCCAGCTGATGAAGCTTGCACACACACACACGCGCAGGTGTGCAGTTACCTTCCGACCCTTCTCCTGTGCGCTGCTGACCACGCGACCCACCTCGTTGGCATAGGCCACAGCTGGGGTGGGGTGGTCTTCCCGGTAGCGGCCTCGGTAGGTGTCTGGGAGAGGTGCCTATGGGGAGTGACAGCACCTTGTCACCCTGGCTGGGGCATGGCCCGACCTCTTGCCGGTGTGGGCGGTGCATACCACATGGACCCACTCCTTCTGGCCGTCCAGGTCCCGGAACTTGTAGGGACTGATGTCGATCAGGGAGCTCAGGTGACCGTGATAAGCACTGGGGGGAGGAGGGGAGGGAAGGCTGGGGTTCAAGGTGGCCAGGCCAAAGACGACACACCAGGGAGCCAGCCACCCTGATGGCCCGGAGTCCTGTGGTCCTCATTGAACCTGTGCTCCGCTTCTCCTCTGGGGAGGGTGGGCTTGCTCTCAGGGTCACAGTGCACCTCAGCTTGCTAGCGCTCAGGCCCAGGTGCGGTCTTGTGCACAGCAGATCTCAGCACACAGGAGCAACAGCTGGGCTAGTCTGATTTTCTGAATACAGGAGGGTAAGTCCCTTGCAAAGCTTGCCCTGTTCCCAGGTGACCTGAGGACCCCATCCAGGGAGCTGTTCCTGGGGCCTGGTCCTCTGCCTGTCCTGCTCTCTCTGCAGCCCAAGCTTCCTTCTTCCTATGGTGCTCAGAGTGGGCGCCTCACTGGTCCCAGCAGCCAGGGGCCTAGCCTGACTTACTGGTCCAGCACCACCACATCCTGGTGTCCTGTGTACTGGCGTGCCAGCCGCAGGGCCAGGTCGTTGGCTTCTGACCTGTGATGGAAAAGGCAGGCAGTGCTGGGACAGCTGTCCTGCGGCTCTCCAGGAGCCCTCCAGCTGCAGGCACATGGCTCAGTCACTGGCTTGTGGATTCGGAAACATCTGAGCACCTCCCGGCAGCTCACAGCCAGCCGCACAAGCATGCGCGCGTGAAAGGTACACAGATGTCATGAAACGAGAGGGATCATTTCTATAAATGTTAGCACAGGACACAGCCCCAAGAAGAGCCGGGTGGGGTCCCACTCCAGAGCAGTACACTATGGCTGAACTGTGCTCCCCCAAATCAGTGTATCAAAGCTTTAACCCTCAGTAGCTTAGAATGTTCTGTGTCTGTCTGGAGATAAAGTTAGCTGGATGCAGTGGCACAGGCCTGTATTCCCAGCTACCTGGGAAGCTGAGGCAGGAGGAGCGCTGTGAGTTCAAGGCCGGCCTGTGCTACACAGCAAGACCATCTCAGAAAGAGAAAATAAAAGCTGGGCACCCCTGCGCTAGTCTGTGGTACTTCCTTACAGCCACTGCAGTAACCAACACAGGTCAAAGGTGATTCTTGGGCTACCCCACCCTGAGTGCCACATATGCCAAGAGAAGACAGGTTGGGGCCAAGGAGATGGACAGGTGGGCCCAGCTAAGCGATACCCGGAGACAGGCGAGGCAGGACGGGCAGAGCCGGCCAGTTTCTCCCTCCAGCAGAGGCAAGAGGTAAGGAGTGAGAGGGTGGCAGGAAAGCCTGGAGTAGATGGCTGAGAACACTGGACACTGGAGGAGACAGTTCCCGACTGGGCAGTCAGACTTGAGTCAGGGAAGCCCCTGAGCTCACGGTGGTGTCACGGGATTCTCTGGCACACAGGTGGCATCTGACACCAAGGCGTCAGATTTGCTCCGGGAGGAAGAGGGCTCTGAGAGAACTGGGGCCAGCTCTGAATCAGGGAGGGACTGGCCAAAGGGATAGAGCGGGAGTGACCAGGGAAGCTGGGGCACCCACAGAGCATGGTGCCCGGAAGCAAGAGGATGGTCTTCAGAGCAGTCATTCTATCAGCACTGCTGGGACACAGGACGCGGCCAGCCACTGCCACCCTCCGGCCCCTGAACCGGCTCATCACTGCCCCCTCCTGTCCTCCCACCCCAGTGGTACCACTGCCCTTGCTGAAATCCCCCAGTAACTTCCCAGTGCTTGGCCAGCGAGGGCCTGGATCCTCAGTGCCAGCTACATCCCTTTCTCTTCCGATACCACAAATATGCAGGCTGCTGTGCTGCTTCCCGTACCCGGCCTTTGCGTGCCTGGTGCATGTGGCCAGTCTTGACGAGAGTACTTTTGATGGAGAGGGCAGCTGCTCCCCAGGGACATCTTAGCTTTTTGTGTGATTTCTCAAGGATGGCTGCCCCAAGGCTGGCCCGGGTTCTGGGCCTCACTGTACTGTGCGATTCTTCCACACACAGGCCTGCCTCTCTGAGTAACTCCCTGTGTCTCTGAAGAGCCCTTTGACCTTTGTGCTCCTTACCACACAAGCTGAGGGCAGAGACTTGTATCCCGGAGGCAGAGATAAAGGAACCCATTACCTCAAGTGCATAATGACCCTGGCGGAGAGGCAGGGCAGCCTCTGCTGCAGACAAACAAGTGGGATCAGACCGAAAGCACCGGGCCGAGCCCCACCCGGACTGGCTGGACTGCGCTGTGCCCACCAGACCGACTGTCCCTTGGGCACTGGCTATCCTCACAGGGCCTGGCCACAGTCCACTCACCCAGAATTCAGGAAGTAAAACACACAGAGCTGCTCAGGCAGGGTCTCTGACAGCCGCTGGGCGTAGTCCACGATGTTATCGTGCAGGTATCGGCTGTTGGTGTTCAGCTCCTGGTTCTGTTCGTGTGCAGCTTGGACTACAAGAGGGTGGCAGTGCCCAACTGCAAGAGGGTCCCCTCTGTCACGTGGGCCATGGTGCTCAGCCATCCCACCACGCCTCCCCCAGTTCCAATCCCCGGAGCCGCCCGGGAGAGATGTAGTCAGTGAATGGAGGGAGATGTGGAAAGAAATCAGCAAAGGAAGATCTAGAAAGGATTCCCTGAGATTCCAGAAGACACATTCCTCTGGCAGGAGCCCAGGTAAAAAGCTCAGTTTCTAGGAAAGTTTCCCAAGATTGTTCTCCAGAGGTACAGGTCAGGGTGACTCTTGGGCAGGAGGACTGGAGGGGACCCTGATAGACAAGGCCACAGATGATGACAGAACACGTTTGGGGACCTTGTCGTAAGTCAGGCACACTATACAAAACACCCCTGGGCACGTGATACACCTAGTGTCGAATCTGTCCTGCTGATGAACAATGTGAGGGCCAGGAAAGTTATTCTTTCTGATCAGCAAGTGGATAAATAGAGGGCAGGAATCTGAACCCAAGAATATGAACTAAAACCTGTGACTTCACACACTGCCAGTTTGCATGCTAAATCACAGATGCTCTTTCCTCCCTCACAGGGTCGAAAGGCTACTTCCACTCCCTTGAACCCGACATCAGCCCCGGGGACCAGATATAGTGTGTGCACTATACTGGGATCTGGAGACTTCTCCGGCTACTTCGCAAAGCCCGGGCCTCCTTTGTGCGTGGCTGGTGGCTCAGCTTGGCCCAGCTGCAACCTCGGGGTCATCCGGGGACATATCGCAGCCTGGGGCGCGACACTGACCATGAGCCACGTTGTTGACGCAGTCGAGGTACTCGGCCCCCTGCTCGTCGTAGAGGTACTGCCCGCGGCCGCGCACCACCTTCACGGGCGCCTCCGGGTAAAAGAGCCTGCAGGATGAGCTGCGGGGACAGGCAAGGGTGGCAGCCCCAGCCGGGCAGAGGCGAGCCTGGCCCCCCTGCCCCGCGCCCCGGGGGAGAAGGTTGGCGGGGCGCGGCGGACACGGACACGCAGGTGGCTCCCGGGCCAGGTGCAGCCGGGGACAGCGAGGTGAGGCGGAGCTCGACCGCCCTCCCTCGCCCTGCGACGGCCCACCCCGCTCGTCGGCCGGCGCGACAACTTCCAGCCCCTCCAGGCCACGGGGACGGGCACGGCGCGCGCGACAAGCAAAGGCCGGCCCGACAGGGCGCGGGGCGGGCTCCGTGCACGCGCGCGTCGTGCGTGCGTCCGTGCGTGCGTCGCGCGCCCCCGCCGCGGTACCTGAGCAGCTGCCGCCGCAGGGCCAGCGTGTCGGCCTTATTGTGCCGGGCGCCCGCCATGGCGCCGCGCGGTCAGCCGGCGCAGATCCGGGCCCCGAGGCCCCGCCCCCAGCCCTCGAGGCCACGCCCCCAGCTTCCGCTTGGGGCCGCGCCCGCCTTCTGGTCGCTGCGGCGTCGGCCCGGGACCGCCCACGCGTGCGGTGCCCGAAAGGGAGCCTTTGCGTGTCGCCGGCGTCTGCGGCGGCGCTCAGGGCCGCGCGAGTCTGCCGTGGCAAGAGCCGGTCTCGGCTCCTGCGGCCCTGCAGAGCGTAGCTCCCGGGCTTGGCCGGGCAGCGTCTCCTCCCGGTCCCCCGCCTCGCCTCCCGGGAGGGGCTGCGCCGGGGCGGAACCGGCAGGCGCCGCTTTCCGCGTTCCCGAGGTGACTAACCGTCGTCGGCAGGCTGCGTGCGCTTCCGAAGGGCGCGTCCCGTCCTGCGCGCACCCAGAGCACCCCTCACTTCCTGCAGGGTCTCCCGACGGGCCAGGAGACCTCAGGTTGAGCTGTGAAAGGCCGTGCGAGCCGGGGCGGTGGCGCATGCCCGTGATCTCAGTGTTGTGGGAGGCTGAGCAGGAGAATCAAGTTTGAGCCATGGCTGGGCAGTTTAGCAGCACGCTACCCCCTCCCCTAAAAGGGCTGGAGGAGCCCCCATGGGTCTGAAAAAATAACTGCCGGACTGTGGCCCTGCTGATCATTTTAGATGTCACCCGGCAGGACTCTTTAACTGTGTTTCCCTCTTCTGAAGGGGAAGCGTGAGGGTGCCCATTGGCTCCCCACCTCCAGGCTGAGCTGTGGGGCAGGGCCATGCCTGGTCCACTAATCTCTGTCCCTGCGGCCTCCCACAAGGGCAGCAAGCCCACACCTGACACCCTATCCGGGTGTGCACCCAGCCGCCGGCGCCTGCCCTGAGTGTCAAGGTCCTCTGCATCAAGGCCACCACGGTGGCCCGTATCTTGGGAGCTGTGTGGGGTGGTGTGGGGTGCACTTCCCGAGTGGAGGGAAGGGGGTCCAGATGAGCCGTGCACACAGCCAGTGCCATCTCCACCCCACATCCAGCGTCTCTGACACAGCCTGAGCAGTGTGGCTGTTCTCCCCCGCTTTTAGGGCCCTGTGGCTGACTTCCCCTCTAGCCCCGTGTAACTGGGTGGGTGCTTTTGCTTGACTGGGGTGTTGCCTGTACTGTGGTCTTGGGGGCATCCCTGCTGGGACGAGGGGAACATGTAAAGGTATCTGCACAGTCTGCAGTGCTGATCAGAGTGGGAGATAACAGAGGCTGGGCAGGCGAGACAAGCAGACCGTCCCACTTTTATCCTGCACTGTGATGGGAATGATCTCTCTAAGTGGGGTCTGTCTCCTCAGGCTGGGGCAACTGATTCATTTACCCTTGGAGTCCAGTACCCATCACTGAGGAGGCCCAGGCCATCTGGAAAGACCCCCACACAAGCTGGTCGTGGTGGCGCACGCCTATAATCCCAGCAATCTGGAGGCTGAGACAGGAGGATCATTGCAGGTTCTAGACCAGCATGAACTGCAGAATGAGACCCGGTATCAAAAAGATTAGGGGCAGAGAGGAAAGGAAGAAAGCAAGACCCCAACCAGGTGTCCTGGCTGTCCTGGTCCTAGTGGACTGCCAGCCTCAGCTACCAAATGTAGGAGACCTGGAGTGAGAGCTGCCCATCTGAGACCATGAACGAATGGGAAAAAATTTTTTTTCAGACAGCTTTTATACGCACTTCAGGCTGACCTTGAACTCACTGCGTAGCCTTGGCTGGCTCCAAACAGTGAGCCTCCTGCCTCAGTCTCCTGAGTGCTGGGGTCACAGGTGTGCCTCCCCATGCCTGGCCATGTCTTAGGCAACACTAAACTTTGGGGTGATTTGCATGCAACATTCTCTGGGAGCCAGAGTGGAGGAGGCCACAGGGACTGGGCTCAGTGACGGGAAGTGAGTGGCCCAAAGAGCTCGGGTGATGGCAGCAGGGCCAGGTGTGGACCCTGTGTCTTCCTGACTCACATAGTCTCTGCCCTCTTACTGACCCTGCACATCCTCCTTCGGATTCTATGGTGGCTCTGACACAAGGGCGTCCCTCTCTCCCCAGTGCTCAGTGGTCAAGGTGAAACTCAGCTGGCAGTGGCCAGGGCCTCCACAAAGACAGGCATATGCAGACACACGCTGATGTTTATTACATGAGCAAACCCGTCTACATGGGGAGAGGATAGGACAGGGCTGGCTGCTGGGAGCCCTGTGCAGGCCTTCGGGCTCCAGTCTTGCACCCTGCTTTGTGCAGCTGGCCGGCAGGCACCCTGCTGCCAGGCTGACCAAAGTCCTGGCTGGGAGATTTGGGCCAGCTGGATCATCTCCTCAGGGGCGACCGGTCCCCTTTCCTGTCCATCTCCAAGTGATGTGGTGACACAGGAAGTGGTAGCCAGTGCAGCTTGGATGGTCCATCCCTGCACTCCGGGACTCCGCGCTCCCAAAACTGGCTCCTTGTCCTAGCCATCATGGAGCCTGGCCCCTGAGTTCTCACAGCTTCCAGAGGGAGCCAGGCCACTGTGGGGAGCTTTCTGCAGACTCCTCCCCGGTCATTAGCAAGTGCCCACAGAGTTGAGTCCTGCCCTGGTGTGTCAGGGTCCAGGGCAGCCAGCTGTAGGTGAGTCTGGAGGCCAGAGGGGCTGGGGCAGCAGCATAGCAGCTGCGAGCCAATTAGGTGTGGCTGGATCCAGCATGACCGCAGGGCTCCCCGCTCCCTGCTTTGGGGACAGCTCTTACGAGGCAGTGGCCAGCCCAGCCAAGTCTCTGCTGATCAGGTGATCGAAAGCCCAAGACAAGCGGGCACTGTCACCATCGTTTCCTACTAGGGCGCTGAAGCCACAGTGCACACCATCCTGCCCACCTTACACTACCAGTCATGCTAGGCTGCTGGCCCTTGCCGGGGTCACAGGCCAGAGTGGTGCGTTCCATGAGAGGTCAATATATTACTGTTTCCTTTTTACAAAAACTAAAAGTGTCCACACGGATCTGTACAGGTAGTGAGCAGGGTCGGGGATCACTGGTGAAGGAGGGAAAGACAAGGTGACAGGGGGCATGGGGAGTCCCGAGCCCGGTGCAGCCCTGTCCTCTAGTCCTGTTTGTCACAAGGTGCCAGCTGGTGCCAGTGCAGGCACTGCACTGGCTGGGCCAGGTGTCCACTGAGCCCCATGTGACCAGTAGGACTGGGGGTACACAATAGCCAGGACCATTGTCCCCAGCTTCAGCTGCAGGCTGGGACAGGCACAGCCAGGCTGTCACTGGCTGACCGGGCACCATGAGCTCTCAGTGGTGGCACCCCGACCCCGCCCTCTCTGTGTCCTGACCCACCCCAGTCCTCCAAACCGGTCCTGGGGCCAACCCTGTACAGTACCTTATGCCAGCAGCCAGGCACAGGCAGCCCATCTTGTCCCTGGAGAGAGAGTAGGTGTAAGTGACCGGGACAGGTATCTGGTGGGCTCCCTAAGCCCCCTCACCTGCCCAGGTCTGTAGGGAGACACAGCCATGGAACTGCCCTATGGGCTGCCAGCTTCTCCCCCCGCTTGCCTGGACATGTGCTGTGGGCAGAGGCAGGAGGATACTACTGCAACATGCTGACACTGGCCTGCCAGGAGGCCCCGCCCCAGCCCTCGGGGTCATGTGGCCTCCTGGCGCGCAGTGGTCACTGTGACTCTGTCCAGGGCAGGATGCCTTCAAGAGCCTCCAGACGAGACCTCAGTGGGCAGCACCCTGGTCCCCACCCGTGTCTGGATCTGAATGGTGGGAAGGGTGGCCCAGGTTGGACCTTGGCCTGGGGTGGGGCTGTCAGGGTGGGCAGTGCCCATTCAGCCTGTGGGCCCAGGGACCAAATGCAGTCACTGGCAGGGGTCAGGGTGGGACACACTCCACTGCATTCGGAAGCGCAGGCACAGTGGCAGACACTCGGAGGCCCTGACCAGAAGGGCAGAAGGCAGCATGGACTAGCAGGAGGGAGGGGACAGAGTCACGGACACAGCAGCCCTGGAGGCCCAGGGCACACACAGCACACAACCGGCCATGCTGCCTACCGCAGGGCAGGGCCTGCTGCCCCTCGCCAGGCCCTGGGAGCCAGGTAGCCCTTGCTGGCCTCTGCGTCGGACGTGATCCTGTTCAGAGACAGAGGCTGACCACTGGGGGTGGGGTGAGGGTGAGAGCGGGGCTGCACTGTTCCCTGGCTGCAACTGGCCCTTCTGTGTCCCTCTCTGTCCTCTAGCTTTCTCCTACCACCTGGACAGAGGGGGACCCCAGCATGGAGGGCCTGCCTCATGGAGGGCAGAGGCCTGCTGGGGACCCCAGTACTGGGTGCCCACCTCCCCAGCCAGTGTGGGTTGGCTGGCATGAGCACAGAGACCCTAGGGGCTATTGTGTGCCCCCAGTCCTACTGGTCACATGGGGCTCAGTGGACACCTGGCCCAGCCAGTGCATTTTCCTGTCTTTGCTGAGTTCTCTGGACACTGAGTGAAATCTGGACACTCTGACAGCTGGCAGACCATGCCAGACGCTGGACAGAGCTGCTGGGAGGGCAGGAGAGGTGCTCAGTGAGGAGGAGGGACACAGGCTCAGTATGGGGCCCTTCCCTGCGGCAGAGGAGAGCAGGGGAGGCGACCTCGGGGAGCAGTGTGGCCCTGGGCACTAGGTCAGGGACTGGGCACCCCAGCCTGTGCCCGCTGTGCCGCCTGTGACTGTGAGGCTTCCCAGCCCCCTCGGGCGTCTGCTGTTGCCTCGGAAAGCCAGCCCCTCTGTACCACTCGCCAGGATCCCGGGATGGGCCCTGCTTCTGCCAGGCCTGCCTGGGGCTGGGGCGGGAGGGAAAGTGGTCCTGTGCGAGGGGACCGTGGGGAGCAGGGGGCAGTGACGACCAGGAGGGCTGCAGTGGCCCACATGTGGCGCTCAGCGCAGGGCTGCTGTGGCCAGCGGGACTTGGGGCTGAGCTCTGAGGATGGGGAGACGCCCCTTGGCTGACACGTACCACAGGACATGGCTGGTCCAGGCCCGGTGGCCCCGGCTCTCCCTTCTGGCCCTTCACTCCTTTCCGGCCAGGGACACCTCGCTCTCCCTGTGCGAAAAGCCAGAGGCTGGGTGGCCACAGTCACTGGGCTCAGCCTCCTGCGGCCCCCTGCTGCCCCTGCCCCACGACCGCCTCTCCATGCTCCCCGCCTCACCTTCTCTCCACGCTCGCTCCGGTCACCTTTCTCGCCCCGAGGTCCTGGGAAGCCCTGACAGAGACTGATGGTTAGACCCGAGGTGGAGGCTGAGTCACTGCTCCACTGCCTGCCCACCTCTGCTCTCCTGCCCAGAGACGCCCCTGGCCCTGTGCACCCTCAGGTGCAAGTGGCCGGGCCCTGGATGTTGGGCGACGCACGTGCAGGGACCACGCAGGTACAGGGATGGTGTGGGTGCCAGGTGATGGCCCTGGACCACGGTGTGGCTGCATCAGCCGAGCTAGGCTGGGGAGTCCGTGTCACCATTTTTGACAGACTGAGGAAGGGCGACCCTGTTCTTTACCCTCAGCTCAGCTTTGTGGATTCTCATCTGTCCCTTCATCTCTCTGTCCATCCATCCAACCTGCAGGGGGCTGGGCTGCGGGCCGGGTGCTAGAGGCAGGAGGAGCTTGAGGCCTTCCCTGCTCCATCTGGGCAGGTGATGGAGGGCGGGGACCATAGAGGGCTCTCTAAGGGCTGGGTTGCTTCCCTTGGCTCCGGTGGGTGAGTGAGGCCTGGGCTGCCAGATGGAGCTGGTGGGCGTGGCCTTGAGATGCCACCTGGAAGGCAGCCGTGACCACCTGCAGGTGCCCTGAGCCTTTCAGTTCCACCCTGTGCCTTCCCGGCCCGCAGCCGTCTTCTCCCCGCATGGGCCACAGAAAGGATCCGGCTCTCGCCCTCCTCCTGCCCCGCCACCCGCTCTCCTTCAGGTCTCAGTGGACAGAGCTGCAGCCCAGTGGCCGCTCCCTTTCCCTCCCGAGGCTGCCTGACCTTTCGCCCTCCCCACAAACCCCGGCCTCCATCCCCAGGCTGGGCGCATGGTTGAGGCTGCTGAGGAGGGCACCGCATTCCAGCAGCCAAGCGGCCTGCAGCATGGGCCTGCACCCACAGGAGCCGGGTGTCCCTGCCGGAGCGCAGCCATTTACCCTCTGGGTCTGGCCGGGGAGCCGGGTTGGGGCTGCTCCCCAGGCAGTGATTCCCAGGCAGGGAGGCAGAGACAGCAGGGTGTTAAAGGCTGGCTGTGCCCACCGGCTATGCCCCGGGATGAGTGTGTTAAGCCTCGGGACCTCTCAGGAGTCACTTTAAACCAGTTTAGACTGGGGCTTGTTTATGCTGTCTGGCCAGAGGCAGCCCAGGACAGGGATCGGGGCTGCCACTTCCCCTTCTCCTCCCTGTGACACTGGCCCAGATGGAGCCTCACGGGCTCCGCCCTGCTCTGCACACGTCTCTGTGACTGTGCCTCATCCATGCTCCTCTCAGCCATGCTCCTCCTGACCTCCCTCATCCATCTTTCCTCCATCCATCCCTCCACCCGTCCACCCAGGCACCCTCATCCCACTCCGGGCTGTGCATGGACTCGGCCCTGTGGACACAGGGAACCAGGCAGCTGCAGCCCCAGCAGGTCACCTGAGCTGCCCGGTGACCAAGGGAGCGGCACAAGGGCAGAGGAGAAGTGGAGGGACCCAGGGACTGGCAGGGAAGCTTGGAGAACTTACGTCAAGGCCTGGCTCCCCGGGTCTGCCCTGGGGAGAGACGAAGAGAGGGGTGAGCCCTGGGAAGGGGCACTGGGAGCACGGCTGCTGGGAGCCCAGCCCGGTGCCTGGACCATGCAGGGCACAGGGAGGCTGACTCCACAGGGGCGGAACGGCAGAGCCTCGGGGCCTCCCTGTGCAGGCGGAGACCAGCGAGGTCCAGGGTTTGAGCCTGGCTGGTGGGGTGCCAGGGCGTGTGACTCTGGGGGTGTCTGGGGAAGGCAGTTACCTTCTCTCCTTTGGTTCCTGGCAACCCGATAAGGCCTGGTGGGCCAGCTGGCCCCTGGGTGAAGAAGAAGCTGGTCAAGAAGGGCAGTTACAGGACGCCACCCCCAGGGGACAAACGAGGCGCAGGACACTTACGGGCAGGCCGCTCGGGCCTCTTTCACCCGACGCGCCCCTCTCTCCCTTTGCTCCATCCAAGCCCTGGAAGGAAGGCAGTCGCTCAGGGGAGGGGACAGACAGCAGGACGGGAGAGCACATGGCTGTCCTGGGCCGCCGCCTCCTCCTTGTCCTCCTTTGGGGACACTGGTCAGGGAGAGCATGGCATACATGTCCCTCTTCCCCCACCTGGGACAGGGTCCCAGTGATGCTGGGTCCTCGAGCCGCAAGGAGGCGCAGAGAGGAGCAGAGCCATGAGCCTCAGGGCCCGGCACCCATCTTTTTCTGAGCCCGACTTTGGGCCAGGCCCAGATAGCAGCTGCCTGTTCTACACCCAAGCTAAGGAAGCCTTGGGATGAAACGGGGCCAGCAGTGGCACATCTGGTTGGGCCCCAAGCTTGGCCTCTCGGGTTGGGATTGGGCATTTTGGGTCCCCACCTGGCCTCTGAGCTGGGGGTAGAGAGGAGCACTCCTCCTCAAGGGGAGTCAGGGGCAGGTGGGACAAGGGCCTGTGCCAGTGCCAGGAATGGTGGCTCACACCTGTAATCTCAGTGCAGGGAGGCTGAGGCAGGAGGATCACCATGAGTTCAAGGCCAGCCTGGGTTACAAAGTGAGTTCAAGGCCAGCCTGAACTGCATAATGGGACCCTGTCTCAAAAAACAAACAAAGGAGGACCTGGATCTGCCCCCTGAGTAGGACACACAGGTGGACCACGCTGGAGGTTTTAAGAGTCAGAACCTGACACAATGAAATATACCACCCTTCCAAGACATGGTGTTCAGATGGGTGAGATGGGAGGTGCGGGAAGCAGGGGTGGGCGAGCCCGAGGGAGGAGGACACTGGGCAGCACCGGGTTGTTTGGGGTCTTCCCACTCACCTTGGGACCCTGGATGCCCTGGAGGCCCTGGGAAAGAGGAGGAGGAGGTCAGATGTGCTGGCTGGATGCAGCCTCCCGGCCTGGTCCTGTTTTGCAGTCGCTTCCAGGCTTCAGGCCACTCCCCAGCCCTGGGCCCAGGCCCCTGAACAGCCCCCATCCTCCTGGGCCACCCCCTTCGTGGGCCCCCAGCTGCTGTAAGCCAAGCTATCCTTACCATGGGGCCAGGAGGCCCGGGGGGGCCGGGTGGCCCTGGTTCTGCTATGATCTGGGCCTGTAAGGTCAGAAGTGGGTTAGTCCCCACTGCCCACCGCCCCTCGCCTGTCCTGCTCCTGAGAATCAACTGCTGGCAGAGCACCCTGGGTCAGGGCTCCTGGGCAGGGGCTCCTGCTGCCCCTGAGCACGGCCTGGAGGACTCAGCCACTGACCTTGGCTTTCCTGACAGCCTCTGCCCAGACTGAGTCAGGTCAGGTGCTTTTCTGCCTCAGGCCTGGGGGAAGCCCAGGGACCCAGTGCCCCCTTACCAGGCTCTCCTGCAGACTCTCAGGGGCTGAGTCTCCCTTCTCTCCCTTCGGGCCGTCGGTGCCCTGCAGGATGGGAGGCCTGTGAGCCCTTCCTGCCTGCCTTAAAATCATCCCCTTGGGGCTCGGCCTCCTCCTGGTCTTCCCAGGCAGCAAGGAGTCGTTCATCGAGGCTTCGCTCTCCCTGCTCTGTGGTGTCCTGGCTGGCACAGCAGTGTGCGGAATGCATGGACTGCAGTGCCCCGGGGCACAGCAAGGGACCAGGGCATCTGGGGCAGGGACCCACTCTAGGGCCTCCTCTTGCTGAGTGACCTCTGGGTGGATGGTGGCAGAGGTCAGAAGTGCCCAGTGGCTGTAACATTGGCCACTCATCCTGTCCAGCCACAGAGACATCAGGCTCCTGTACCCCACTACCATGATTGGGTAGACCCATCTCCTGTCTGTGGAGCAGAGTTATCACCCCATCCTACCCCTTCTTGTCCTGTCCTGTCCTGTCCTGTCCCACCCCATCCCATCATGTCCCCTACCCTATCCCATCCTTTCCTATCCTATCCTATCCCTTCCTGTCCTATCCTGGTTTTTTTTTTTTTTTTTTTTGAGACAGCTTCTTGCTATGTAGCCCAGGCTGGCCTTGAACTCACTGGCCTCCTGCCTCAGCCTCCAGAGAGCTGGGATCACAGGCATGCACACCATGCCCAGATCATGCTCATTAGCAGTGGGGAAACTGAGGCTAAGGAGGTCAGGTCACTGTCTAGGGTCCCTGGTGTGCAGTGCAGCTGAATGTGAACCCAGGCAGCTTAGGCTGGAGCAGTGTAACCACAGGCTACCTACCCGCCACCAGGCCGCATCTCCTCGCTTCTCACAGGTGAGGGTTCAGGTTCAGCCAGGGTCGTGGCAGCCATGCTGGGGGGGGCGCTGTGCACATTCCCAGTAGGACCCCTGACTTCATGAGGGGGGCGGCCCCCCTGCTGAAGGCCCCCCTCCAGCCACCTACCGGAAGGCCGGGTAAGCCCATCTCGCCCGCTTCTCCCTTGGGTCCTGTTGGCCCCGGCTCTCCTGAGTCTCCTTTCGGTCCTTTGGGACCCTGAAAGCCACAAGATCACGAAATCAGCGGGGCTCAGGGACCCCACCCCTGTGGGTTCTGTGCTAAGGCCGGGCCAGGCTTGATGCCCACCTCCTGCTCTGGGTCAGCAGCCAGGAACCCTACCTAACAGCAGCGGTGGAGCTGGCACTGGGGGGAAGGGACCCCACTGCTGCCGCCTCTATGACTGGGCAGGGTGGGAGGGGCTGTGGCCTGGGCAGCCCCGTTGGGGGGCACTCACAGGGTGAACTCCACGCTCAGATACCAGGGCTTGGACCCACAGCTGTCCTTCATCTAGAGAATTATGTGCTGTCCTAAACATGCACACGCCAGGGGCCCACAGGTATCAAGTGACACGTGGGATGTGCTCATGTCTATACAGGGTTACACACATGTGCACACACACATGCACACACACACCACGACCAGTACCAGCATCACCAAGGAAATTAGAAGCCCACAGACCTTCTCTCCATCGATTCCTGGGGCACCGGGCAATCCGAGCTCACCCTGCAGGGGTCCAGAAAACATGGGGTGGTGGGTGGAGGGGCCTGGCTGCCTACCTGGGCAGCTTCCCTGGTGCCTCGGAGACTTCCAGCAAGGCGTTCTGTATTTGCTGAGCTTTGGGGGCAGCTGTAGCACCAGGCTGTCACCTTCAGGTTGTGAGGTCACAGCGCTGGAAGCTGAGGTCCCGGGCCCAGAGCCCAGGGACAGTGAAGCCAGGACCAGACCCTGTCTGACTTCAAGATCCAGGGCAAGTGGGAGGGTATACCAAGCGGGCATGGCCAAAGTGCTGGCTGTGCACATGCACATGGAGGTCCAGCCAGGTGTCCCCGGGAGGACGTCAGGTAAGTATGAAGGAGTCTTCTCAGGGTGGGCAGTGGGCAGCAGCCAGGGGCCTGCAGAGGGCACTTGCTTGGCTAGAAGGGGCCCCCCAGCACTCAGGCTGCTTGCAGAAGAGATGTGGGGGCTGGGGACCTGGCTGAGAGGAGAGGGTGGGTGGGTACCAGGTCCCAGGGACCATGTAGCTGCATCTCCACTGACCTTGGCTCCGGGTATCCCTGGTGGCCCTGGGGCTCCCTGCGGCCCGGGAGGACCCTGTGAACGGGAGTCGAGCTGCTCAGTGGTTAGGCAGAGTCCCCCGAACTCCCCCTGGGGCCACCGCCCTGTGTGTACAGCTGCAGCAGGCATGAGGGCCTCATGCCTGGCCCTGCCCAGGCAGGTCAGGGGGAGAGGCCAGGGAGGCGACATCTGGCATTTGCTAAGCTGTCACCCTGGAACCCCTTGGAGTCAGTCCGAATCAAATACAGATTCCTTCCCAAGGCGCTCTTGCTCCAGGCTCTTCCATGGCTCATTCCCCGATCCCTGCGGACACCCAGTGCCAGCGTGGTCCCGCCTCACACAGCACTGCCTGTTCTGACTGTTCCTCTTCCTGCTGGTCCCCAGGCGTCCTCAGCCGCACGGGCGGGGGTGGGGTCTCAGGGGTCACAAGTCTGACCTGCTCCTAAGTATCTGACCCGACTCCCCTGGACTTAGGAGCCCCGTGCCCAGCTTCCGAAGGCCTTGGCTGGCCAGCTCTGGTCCTCACCCCTCCAGCTCCTCTCCGCAGCCTGCCCCTCCTGCTGAAATCTCGGAGACTCCGGTCTGACTTCCCTTCCTCCTCGTACCTGCTGTCTCTAGGTCGCCAGCCAGCGCCTCCCTCCCTGGCAAGCTCCTCATTCTCCTGGTTAGCCCGCCCCTGTCCCCACTTCCTTTTTAATACATGATTCCCCTGCTCAAGGACCGGCTAGGCCGCCTGCTGCCATCAGGGCACACCAGTTAGACATCCTCAATCCTATGAGTCGCTTCCTGTAACTCACAGGGCTTCTCCCGAGTGGCTCCCGGCCACTTGGGCCACACCACACCCGTCACATCATACCACGCAGGCCCAGGGCAGCCCACAGTCACCATCGGCTTGTACTTCCCCAAGCCCTTAGGGAGATGAGAGCTGGGGTTGAAGCTGGGGTCAGGTGCCGACGCTGAGTCCCGTCCTGGTGGGTACCTTGTCCCCACCCCAACTTCCTTCCCCAGTACCCACAAGCAGAGGCACACAGCCTCTGTTGGCCATGGCAGGTCCTGATCTGCCAGTCCTTGGCAGGGCTCAGAGGGCACATGTGTGCCCAGGCTTCTGGGACAGGGCTTCCCAGTCTCCTCCCCAGTGGCCTCGAGAAGGGCCTGCTGCTCAGTCACCAGGAGATGCTCTGCCTCCTGCTTGGCTTTGGGCCTCAGCCTCTGGGGGCTCAGGAACGCCCCCCCCCCCCACGCACACTGCCGACAGCTCTGCTGGCACTGCACGGGTCTCAGGCGCCTGAGGAAACAGAGGTCTCCGTACCAAGCTGCCCCTGTCCCCTGCAAGGGTGGCCAGATGAATGGCCCTCGAGGCCATGGACACTACCTTCAAGGCGTCCAGGATCCTGCCGTCGTAGTCGATCACCACTGTGTCCCCCTGCTCCCCCTTGAGGCCTGGGGCACCCTGAGGAGGGAGAGTAAGCTCAGGGGAGCACTGAGCCGGCGTGTGGCATGGCGGCCATCCCTGTCCCGGCCAGCGAGAGCAGGCCACACTGGGCGAGCACTGAAATCCCATGTGTCCCTGGTGGCGCCTGCACTCGCCGTGCTCCACACCTCCCCTGCCGGGAGCATGGCTATTCTCAGGAACCTGGTGTGGGGATCGGACAGCCAGGCCCAGCCTCCTTCTCCAGCGCAGATGCAAACCCTACGCTCAGAGCTGGTCTAGACCCTGGCCCTGCACAGCCAAGCTGGGGTTCAGATCTGTTTTTTGGGAGGCAGAGTCCATCCCCAGGCAAAAGGCAACATGGTTACATCTGGTGATGCAGCTGCCCTGGTGTCCATGTGAGGCCGGGTCCCTCGGGCTGGTCATGAGAGGTCAGGCAGCCAGAGTGGAGAGGGGGAGCTCCGTGTGGGTGAGGCAGGACGTACCCCACCCTCTAGGTGATGGGGTGGGGACTTGTGTGTGATCCGCAGAGATGCAGCCACCGGGGAGCAAAGGACTCTCTAGTGGGGAGACAGCGGGACTTGGGGTTTTTAGGTACCAGGAATTGACCTCTGGACCTCGCGCTTGCCAGGCAGGGACTGTGCTGCTGAGCTGTGTCCCCAGCCCAGGGTTGGGGCTCCGGCACTTCCACATTTGAATGTGCACCAGATGGAAAGAGCTCGGTAGAGGCTGCTCATCATTAAGAGGATGCTTGCTGCCCCTCTGGTGGGGGGGCACCCAGAGCTCCCACATCCCAGCAGCTGCTTACCCGGGGCCCTGCTGCTCCCTCGGTGCCTCGAGGCCCGGGCTCCCCCTATGGAGACAGAGGTCACAGCCCAGCCTGTGGGACACCCCCAGCCTCACCAGCCCCACTGCCCTGAAGTGCCCAGGCCCCTGTGCTGGTCCTCAAGAGAGGGACCGAGAGGGGGCCCTGCCCTGAGGGGGCGCAGTGGCCCTGCCTCTGGGATCCAGCCAGAAGGGCAGTGAGGGTGGAGCCATGTCCCCTCCCCACTGATGCTGGTTGGATGCCAGGGCAGAGCTTGGGATGTCACCTTTGGTCCAGGGGCACCATCCACGCCATCCTGTCCTTGAGGTCCTGCACTCCCCGGCTCACCCTGAAAAGGAAACCCTGACATGAAACTTTGGGAGATGCAGCAGGGACAGTGGCCTGGGGCCAGAGCTGCCAGGCCTCTTGACCAGTGTCCCTGGGTGGCCCAGGGGTGGACCAGGGCCAAGATTGCCCCTCCCAGGAGCCATTCTGCAGGTGGCTAGGCAGGACCAGCAGGGGGCTGGGGAGCAGCCGGTGTTTGGCTCCTGGTGGGAGACAGGGCAAAGCACGGTCACCTAAGATGGGCCGGAGCTCCTTGGGGAGCACAGTGGCCTGGGCCTGGGTGAGCAGCACTGGCCACTCCAGGATGGACACTGGGAAGGCAGCAACCGTGGAGTGCGAAGGCTGGACTCCCTGGGCGAGGGGCACACACTCACCTTGGGCCCCGGGGGTCCAGGGAGCCCGGGCTGGCTGGGCATCCCGTCTTCCCCCTGAGGAGAGAACGCTGAGGCTGACTGGGATGGCCAGACCCTCTGGTGCCTGCTGTCCCTGCTCCCTGCAGACCCCGTTTCTGAGCACTCAGCCTTGGGGCAGGAGAAGGGTCCCGTCACCCATGCACAAACAGGATGAGGACAGGAGAGGGAGCATACGCCTGGTGGACCAGGGCCCTGCCCGGCTTGGAAGGCGCTGGAGGAGCTGAGGGTCAAGAATCCTCCTATTCACAGAAGGCGCCATGTCAGGTTAGCTCCTGGACACAGAGACGGGGACACAGGATGGAGGAGCCAGGGCTCCTTTCCTGCTCAGCAGCAGCTCCCGAGCTTGGGGGCACCTCAGACGCCCAGGGGCTGCCCCACCACCCCTGCTTCGGAGTCTGGGGCAGCCCCAGAGCTCACACGCATGATTTAGTGCTGAGGGTGCAACACCGGGCCCCCTGCAGGCCGGGCCAGGCCAGTGCTGCCCACCGAGTGCCAGCTCTGCCCAGCACATTGGTAATGCAGCTGCCAGGCGAGGACTGCACTTGGGAACCACTGTCTGACCTGAGTGACAGAGGCGGGCAAAGGAGGGAGTGGCTGAGCACACAGAGGAAATTCTGTGGCAGGGCAGAATGAGGACCACCGCATGAGGACTCAAGCCGACAGGACCCGCCTGGCCCTGCCGCAGCCCCTGCCCTGCCCTGCCCTCCTGCACTTCCAGCTGCTAGCGTGAAGCTGCTGGGGACCTCACCTTCTCTCCGGGGGTGCCAGGCTCACCCTGAAGGAGGACAAGAGCAGGATACGGGGAGGTCAGAGCCATGGAGGTGCTCTGCTCCCTCACGTTTCCCTTCCAGGGCGGTGGTTCCCACGGCCTGGTCTGTGCTGGCGCAGACCACAAGCACACTGGTCACACAACCTGGTCAGTTATGTGGCCCTGACGAGACCACACTCTGGAGAGTGGGGAGGTGACTCCTGCAACTCCGAGGGCTGCTGGCACCAGGCAGAGCACTTCCCCACCCTGCGCTCCGCAGCCCGGGGTCTGGGTCCCTCCAGGAGACCCGAAGCCCCCGTACCCCTGCGTGACACCTGAGAAGGCCATGTGGTCATACTCATGACTACACGAATACCCGTCCCCAGGCGTTCATAGCTCTCATGCTTACAATGGCCTATATCTGGAAGCAACCGAGATGCCCTTCAGTGGGTGAGTGGGGACATAAGCGGGAGCTTTAGATAACGGGGTACAGTCAGCCCTGAAGAGAAATGAACTATGGAACCAAGAAAAGGCAGAGCGGAACCCACCCCCCCAGGGTGCTGCCCTGAGCTACTTCCTGTGGCGCAACTGCACTGTGACGCCCCGGACAGGCAAAGCTACAGGGCAGAGGGGCAGTGGGTGCAGGGAGGAGGGTGGACACGGCAGTTTTAAGCCAGGGAGATGATCCTGCAGGGTGCTGTCATGGAGGACACGCATCACCACACACTCACAGAATCACCCTACCACGGGCAGTCTGCAGGCAGCCTGGGAAGCCCTCGATTGCACCCCTGGATGCACCACTCCAGCTGGGAATGTTGGTGATAGGCATATGTGGGTACACATGTGCGCATGTGTGGGTGCACGTGTGTGTGTGTGTGTGTAAATGGAGAAATCTCCACTCTCCACCCAAAAGCTGCTCCAGAAATACAGTCATTGAAACCCACACAGCTCATGTGCTTCATGATTCAATCCTCACTGTCCAGTGTGAAGTTAACAAAAGACACGTTTATCAGGCATCCATTTGACAGATGGGTAAACCGAGACTCAGAGATACAGTAAACAGCCCATGGCTGCAGAATGGGGTCTCCTATCCCTACCACCTCAGCTAATGGGGACAGGAAGGTGGCAAGGAGGGGTGCAGCAGGTCATGACACAGGAGCACTCACCTGGGGACCTGGGGGTCCCTTGGGGCCCTGGAACAAGAGAAGAGGGTGTGAGACACCACACCAGAGGCTGTGCCTGCTGGGCCCACACTCTGTCGCCTTCCTTTCTATAAGGGCGACACCCAGTCGTAGAGAGGAGGCAGGACTGCCCAGGACCAGACTGACCCCTATCGCCTCCAACAGCTGCTGTCCAAGACTCAAGCAGCACCCAGGGGTCCCGAACACCCCCACCCAGGAAGCTGGGCACCGAGCTCCACCCAGTGCCCGTTCCAACACAGCCTGGCCTGGCATGGGCCGTGCACACCTCCTCCAGACCGGGCCTGCGTGGGAAAGGGGCTGCCAGGTCTGGGATACTGACCACCTCGCCGTGCTGTCCAGGCTCTCCCTTGGGACCCTAGGAGACAGACAGAGTAGCAATGTGAGGTCTGCGGGGGTCTTGTCCCATTTAACTGAGCCCCGTCTCCTGCCGGCCAAGCACACTCATTTCCTTCTCCCCAACCCTGGAAGCTGGGTCACTTTCTTGTCATTTCCCCAGTCCATGACAGAAGGCAAGGCTCAGGGAGCTATGGGCTCCTAGTGTGCCGGAAGCAGTGGCCGCACGGAGCGACTGCCCTGGGACAGGCAGGTAGGGCCAGGGCAGAGTCCTGCAGTTAGGGAAGGGGTGGTCTTTCAGGTTTGGGGACCCAGACTAGCCAGTTACTGCTGGGGAAGAGGAGGGAGGCTTGGTGCCTGCGTCCGAGCCTCAGGGCCAGAGTCTCCGACAGCACTGAGCAGAGCCTGCAGCTAAGGTCAGGGTCCCTCTGGGGTCAGACTACATCTGCGGCAGTTTCTGCAGGTCGAGGACTGGCTGGGGGCAGTGGCAGGATTTGGGAGATGTTACATGGGGCCCAGGAGGAGGCTAGGGTTAGATCCATGATCTGGGGGAGGTGAGGGTCTGGGGGAGGCTTTAGGCCTGGGGCAGGCTCAGGCTCAGGGTCTGAATGGAGGGAAGCATGATGCTGGGTTTGTGGGGGGACAGGGCGGGGTTGGCGCTGAGAGCTCTGGGGTTTTGGTCGGTGGAGGATTGGGTCCTAGGCCTCCTGTCTCATGCTGTCCCTTACCGCTGGGCCCTGAGCGCCCCTGGGGCCGTCTTTTCCAGTGTCACCGGGAGGGCCCCGGGCCCCAGGAGGTCCAGGGGGCCCTGGAGGCCCTGCAGCTCCATCCTCCCCTTGCTCTCCCTGCAAAAGACGGGGTCTGGTGTGAGCCCAAGGGTGAGGGGTCGGAGCTTCAGCTCGCAGAGAGCGGCTCCCATACATGGGCAGCCCCGTGCCTTCCCTGTTCCCAGCCCTGGATGGGCTTTGACACTGGGCCCCTCTCAGCTCCCTGCCGGTGCCTGAAGGGACCTCAGCCTATGCGGCCCAAAAGAACCCTCACAACTCAGGCAGTGTGCCCCGACGGGGTGCCCAGGCAAGAGGTGACACAGGTGGATGTGGGAGAAAGTGTCCTGGAAAGGACTGGAGGGTCTTTCAGCAGGCCTCCCTGGCTGGCCAGCCCTTGCCTCATTAAAAGTGACAGAGGTGCTGTCTTGGGCATTTATGGCAGGGGAGGGAAGACCTGTGTCTGCATGAAAAGCTGGGTGCAGATGCTCACCACGGCTTCCTCCACGATAGCCCCCTGCTCGGGACAGGCCTAATGCCCTTCCATCCTCCACCAAGTGAGTGGTCAAGGAGCTGCGGTATGTTCATGTCACACACTCCTCAGTGGTCACAGGAGAAAACAAGCTTCCCACACATGCAACAAACCAGGTGCGTCCCGAGGAACTGAGCTGGGAGAACACAGCCGGCTTTCCCGGGTCACACACCGCATGCCCGCGTTTCTCTCCAAGTGTCGGCATAATTCAGGGGCAGGTTAGAGGTTGCCGGGGTTAGGTCGGAGGGAGGGCGCTGCCCACAGCTGACCAAGGACAGCACAAGGGATTGTGGGTAGTGCCACCCACTCTACAAGTGTGATAACACCGCACAGAACACAATACACACCAAACATGCCATCAACACCTGTGTAAAACTAGGAAGACCTGGGTAGGGTGGGTGGGCTGTCCCAAGTCAGCTTCCCACCTCCAGGCAGGCGGCCACGGGGCAGCCAGATGAAGGACTGAGTGGTGCGTGGGGTGTTATTTATTTAAGATGCACGTGATCTGCAATGATCTCAAAATGAAACGCTATAAAGCAAAGCAATGCGCATACACGGCCACCGGACACTAGGTTCCCGGCTCTTGGGGCCGACATCAGTACCGGGTCAGACCCCAGGCAGCCGAGCCAATGTGAGAGGAGCAGAGCCCACAGTGCGACTGGCACCTTTCTGCTGCCCGGCACAGGGCACAGGGCACAGCACCTGCTCACATGGCCCGGGCTCGCGGCCTTTGTGAAACTGCAAAGGGGAAGAAGCCCTTTGTGCAGTCGGCACGGCCGAGCAAGGCCATCCGGAAGCACCCGATCCACCTGGCGATGCGCTAGCCGGGTGTCCGCACCGCGCCAGTACAGACGAAGCCTGGGAGTCAGAGCGGGCAGCCACTTCCTCAGGGCTACGGAGCGGAAGACCGAGTGCCCTCTCACCACCGAGGTGACTCGTGGGTCTCAGGCCTGTTTGTGTTCACCCGTTGTCTGAGACAGGGTCTTGCTGAGCGACTCGGGCTGGCCTCCAACTTGCTGTCCTCCTGCCCTGGCCTCTTGCGTAGTTGGGATTGCGGGCGTGTGCCACTGTGCTGGGCCCTCTCAGGCCTCTTCTCCGTCCTCAGTCCCTGCTGCTCTTTCTATAGCTCAGCAGAAGCCCTGGATTGGCAGCCACTGGAATGGACGCTGCTTGCTGGGACGTTCGAGCAGGTTGCAGGGAGGCTGCCTCATCCCTTCCTGGCTGGTTGTCCCTCCTCCTTCAGGAGCCAGATGGCTGAGGTCTCACCCCGGAGGTGTGCATGCGGTGAGTTGGGGGACGGGAGCACAGCAAACCAGCAGGCCCACAGCCTCCCTTGGCCAGGCTACCTTGAGGACTCGGAGGCTGTATGCGCGATGGTCTCTGCTCACAAAGCCGGGGCTGAGCCGGGGGAAGGCCATCTAATCGGCAGACAGGCGGTGAGGTCAGAAAAGTGGAGCGGCTTCCAGGAGCCACAAGGCTACTTCTGGAGGCAGAAACATCTCGCCCAGCTCAGAGGTGCAGCTCGATGGCTGAGTGCAGAGACCTGCTCCAAAGATGGCTTTGTGCTGGCGCCTGCGTCACGGGCTCCTCTGGAGCTGGACCTCGCCATCCCCACTCCCGCCACTGTGGCTGTGCCCTGCGCCCACCTGACCGAGGAGACGGGACCTGCTTGGGGAACCTTAGAAGACACCGTAATGACCTAAGCCCCTAAGCTTAAGGAGGGGGGGTCACACGTGACTGGAACACTGGGACAGCGGGGGGAGGAGGAGGAGAGCTGCTCGGCCATGTCTCGGGACCAGCTGTGGTAGGCGCTCCCGCCGGAGGGTCAGCTCCCACAGCAGCGGAAAGCGAGCAGAAGGGTTTTGTTGGCAGCCACAGGACAGCACAACACGGTTCTCTGAAGTTGGAGCTGTCACACCAGCCTGTGGGGCTCAGCCTGGCCGGTCCCCTTCCCACACGCCTGGGTAAGCTCCTGATCACATCCCTGCTGCCCCCCCCCCCCACACACACACTGCCTGCGGGGCATCCTTCAGGGATGCCGCACTCCTGAAACAGGTTGGGGCCTGGGCCTTGTGCTGCAGTGCGCACCCCAAACCTTGCAGTTACAAGCCAGTATGCACCACGGCCTGGCCCTGCTCTGGGCAGTGAACACCCATCTTTCAGCCTCTGCAGCTTCCCTGCCTGGGCCGTGCTGGACACGGGGGGCACCTGTCTGACCACTGCAGTGATCCCCTGCCAAGATCGTCTTTGGGGTGCCTGCCTCAGGGCCAGCACTTCCCAGTTCCTAGGTTCAGGGACCCTGAGGGACAGGTAGAAGTGGGCGTGGAGGAGGTGCTGGTCCAGCCCCATGCCGGGTTTGACTTCCATAAGTTGAGCTGTGGTGTCACCCTCACGCCCTCAGGAGAAGGTGACTTGGGCGAGGCTGCTGGCCGGTAGGTGCAGAGCTGTGCTTTTCAGTCAGACCAGCTGCCTCAGGGAGGTCCGTGTCTGGCCTGGAACCAGGACCGGCCTGGCTGTCTGGACACCCATGGTGCCAAGCACAGGGCCTTGGGCATCTGCCAGATCCCTGCTGTCGGAGGGGAAGGGGGTGGCCTTGGCCCGACCAGAGTCACGGGGGCTTCCATGAGCCCTCCCCAGAAGGAGCTCTGGGGAGCCGGGGCCCAGAGGACACCCTGGAGATGCCACACTAGAGCCAGGAGGAGTGGGTGAGGGGTGGTGCTCCATTCTTACCCAGGGGCCAAAGTCTCCTGGTGCACCCTGGAACCAAAACAGGAGACAGATCACACCACCGCCAAGGGCTCGGCGCATTTCCTGTGGAGCACTTGTGCTGCACCCCACGCTTCTAACAAAAGCAACAGGCAGGCCCTGTTCTATCTCCACTCCCAGTGAGGGAAACTGAGGCACAGAGAGGCCAAGGAACTGCCCAAGGTCTTGGAGCTCGCAGATCCAGAGCTGGAAGTCGGTGCCTTTTAATCTATGGCTCCCAGCCATGGGGAAGCAGGGACGGCTGCCGCCACTGTGCCCTGTTAGAGTCCCTGACCCTGGAGCAGTGCGGGGTAGTGACGGTTATCAGGGTGAAGCAGGGAGCATGGCGGTAGGGAGTTACACGGCCTTGGATGCCCCAATACCCACAGCCCCGCTCGAACTGTTTGCATGACCGCTTGACATCAGCCAGGGCCACCAGGAAGGCATGGTGACACCACACTGTGCCAGCGTGGAGTGCACAGTCCTCTCCCTGGCTCTGTGAGGCTGGACTTTAGTGGAGAAGCTGAGGGCCACAGAACCAAGCAACCTGCCCAGAGCCACGTGACGGACAGTGGAGCTGGAATGCAAAGCTAAGGCTCCAAACACACTGTGCCTCTCCAGCTCCCTCAGCCCTGGTGGGGACCCAGAGCCCTGGCCACCCCTGTCCGAGCGGTCACACGGTGGAAGGGCCCCCTCTGAAGCTCATGCTTCCCCATCTCCAAGCGGAGGTTGGGGTGGATGTGGTCAGCTGTGTCAGCCCTGCCTTACCTAGGGGTCTGCTCCGGTCCTCCTCCTGATCCCACGGACAGGGCCAGGACACACAAGTCCTTCTGTCTCCTTCCATGTCAGGCCCAGCCCTTCAGGGTGCTGCCTGGGACCTCCAGTGCCAAATGCCAGGGTTTTCTTCAAGGTCCTTGAGGACAGTATTCTGTCCCACATGCTTTGTCCTGCCCACAGAGCTCACCAGTAACAGCTGTGGTGCAAGTCCCCAAGCTCTCCCGGGACCGTGTCTCACTGCTAATTTCTTTGGAAACTGGTCAATCTGGGAGGCCCATGCCTCTAAGCTTCCTTACGCCTTGCTGCTACATTTCAGGTTCAGCTCTTGCAGCATGGCTCACTGTCAGATGTAAGTCTTGACACCATTGAGGAGGTAGGAGTCACTGATCCCACTTTACAGGAGGGAAAACTGAGGCTCTACAAGGGGCTATGAGTGCCAAGGTCACACTCTGGAATCGGCCTCTAGCATCAGGACGGATTCGGCAGTCCTTACCTTTTCTCCTTTGGGGCCTGGAAGTCCCTGGAGGAGGAAGATGGAGAAAGAAGACGTGTGAATGAAGACAGGCGACAGGTGGGTTCCCCTTCCATGGCACTGTGTTTTTGGGGTAGACGGGCCTGCAGTTCTGGGCAGAGTCGGGGAGGCTGAGTGGAAACCTACACAGGAGCCGCCACCCTTAACGAGAGCCGGGTTCATGGAGAGCCAGGCCTCCATCCTCAGCAAAAGGGAGGCGAGGGTCTGTGGCCACCCCTAGGAGTTGATGGGTACACTTTGCTGGGGAAAAGGGCCCAAGGTCACTCCTCCAGAGAGCACAGCCCTCCCTGCTCAGCACACACCCATCCGTGACCCCTGAAAGCTACCTGTGGCCTGCAAGGCTGGGGCAGGAGAGAGCTGTCTCCTGACACAGCCTTCCCTCCTCCGGGGTGCAGCCCTGCCATCTAACTGTCCCCTCATCAGTCTACCCGTCCATCTCATCCACAGCCACCCTCACCCTAGTGTCCACTTCTCTGGGCCTCTGCCCCCACCCACCTTGTGCATCTGGGGATGTCTCAGCCCTACACCCACCCGGGAAAACCTGAGAATCCATCAGGACACTGCACTCACTGCAGGGACCATCATGCCTGAGAGCTAGATGGGTGCCAGTGACCACACTGTCCACTCTCCCAGGAGCCCAGTGTGGATGCCTGCACACTCCCATTTCAAGACAAGGAACCCAAAGTTCAGGGACAAACAGGCCTCCAAAAGGACACAGTCCATAGGTGGTGATGGATCTGAACTCCAATAACAGACTAGTGGCTTATTTTTCCCCTGAAATCTCTAAACTTCTAACCATAGCACACTATCACCCGCTAACCCTGACCCTAACCTTCACACTACCTAACTTTAACCCTAACCTGACTCCAAACTAACCCTGAGTCCAACCCTAACTGTCATGTCTAAGCCTCAGGGACCCCTAGGAGTCTCATGGGGCTTTAGAAGGCGACTGGATCTCAGGGGAACTGTACTGGTCAGCGGATGGACCCACTGATGACCAGTTCACAGCTAAGTCTGCTGGTGGGAAGAGGTGCACACTGGGGCTTTGGAGGATTTATTTCCCGGCTGGCTCCTCCCTTCTCTCCACTCCCTGCTCACCAAGAGGTGAGCAGCTCTCCTCCACTGTGCAGCTCCACCATGTTGGTCCTGCCATGGACTGAGCCCTACGAACCATAAGTCAAACCGACCCCCTCCTCCTTTACATTGTGGGCACCGAGGAATTTTGTTCCAGAGACAGGAAAGAGACAAACAGACTAACCCTACACCCCAAGCCTGAACCCGAGCCCTAAAACACTGATTTAACCCTAACCTCGCTCTGGAGAGAATCCTACTGCTCAGCCCTCATCCCAGACCCCAAACTCTAACCCCAAGCCTGACCTAACCTCCAACCCCTGTCCTTCCCTCGAGTGTTCACATGGGCTGCAGGGGCCACACACAGCCTGCTCTGGGGCCACGTGAGATGTCCTTGTTGTCACTTACAGGCTTGCCATCCAGACCCAGCGGTCCCTGGAAATGAGACAGAGTGGAGGTTACACGGGGCGGGGACAACATGTCTTCCGTGTCCTATGACCCCAGTGTGTTACTCAGGGACCACAAAACAAAGCCTGCCCTGAGCCCAGAGGCCTGCGTTCACCCCATGTGCTGCCCAGTTCCTCCCAGGAGACCCCCACTGCTGGGGAGTGCAGCTGCGGCTGGTGTATAGCCACACTCGCTGAGCCAACGCTGCAGCCACAGGGATGAGCCGGGGACCCAAGCTGAGCTGTGGGCGCCTGCCTGTGACTTCACGCCGTGATCCGTAGGGAAAAGAGGGCTTTTCTGCCCCAGTGAGGCTGAGCCTGGAGCTCTGGGGGCCGCTGAGTGGCTTAGGAAAGAGCAGGACGCAAAGCGGAGGACAGAGAGAGACAGGACTGAGGTGTGGGCTGCCGCCGGCCCTGTGCACTCCTGGTGAGCTGGCGCCGCCTTCGCCCCTAAGCCAGCTCAAGGTGAGTGTCCTCTACTCAACAGGGGAGTCCTGGAGGCTCTGCATAACACAGGGCTGGTCCTGAGCACCGGGTCTGCAGGAGGTCAGCAACCCCTGCTCACCTCCTGGAGCCCGCAGGCACCTGACCATGGCTGGGCACCCACTTAGCAGAACTGTGCCCACCCTCAGCTGCAGGGCGGACACGGAATCCAACAGCCAGGACGCTGTGCAATGCACCAGTTGTTCCCTTTCTGGGGGCCCCAGCTTCCGTCCCGCTCCTATCCCCTCTCCACCCCCCCACCCAATGTGCAGCACTGTGAGCTGTGAGACCTGGCACACGCAGCCACCCACCTGGCCCCTGCCCAAGTCTGGGCTTCCAGTTCTTCCAGGAGACGTGTGGCTTCTCCAGGGCCCCAGGGTGGGCTACGTAAGCCCATGCCCAGCTCCCATGTCCTAAGTGCTGCACTGTTAGGGTGTGATCTACACCAGCCTCCGCCCCTGTCCTTCGAGGCCTCTGCCAGGCCTCACCAGGCCTGGGCCTCTCCCGGCTCTGCAGGACCACACACTCAGTCTCAGCCACCCGGCACGGTGCTGGCCTTGTCTCCTTGCCCTGCAGGAAACTGAGGTCCCAGGATGGGCAGATGCCGCCAGGGCCGTGCATGCAGTGGGGGCAGCCAGGCTGGTGGTCGGGACGAGCCCACTCTAGGCCCCTCTGCTACACCCGGAGGCCCTGCCCAGCACTCACGTCCACTCCAGCCTGGCCCTGCAGCCTCATCACTTTTTTTTTTAACCTTGTGTTGCTGTGGGTGAATCCAGGGCCTCCCATGTGCCAGGCTAGGGCTCTGCCCCTGAGACTCTGCCCTCTCCAGGCCCCTTGACCATCCCTGGTGGGTCACCGTGTCTATGTGAGAAGCCCTCCCGTGAGGGGCAGCGGGTCCACCTGTACGTGGTGAGGGCTGCAGTGTGGCTCGGGAATAGCGTGCTCGCCCAGCATGCGAGAGGCGCTGGGTTCCACGCCCAGCACCCCAAAACACAACAGATAGAACAGAGCAACCAACCGACACCGCCAAATGGGGGTGCAGGGCAAGCAGGGCCCACGCAGGGCTGAAGGTGTCAACTGCAGTTCTGCCAGCACCTGAGCCAGGAGCCGATGCCAGCACACACCCATGACCAGGCTGCATCGGCGCTCACAGGGCAGCAGGGCCTGAGGCCTAGGCTTCAGGAGGCCCCCACCCTCAGCTGTGGCCTTGGTCTGCAGAGGTGGCTCCAGGCCATCTTTATTTATGTAGCTTCTGCTTCTCCAGCACTCGGGATTGAACCCAGGCCCTTCACACCGAGCTACATCTCCAGCTCTGTTTAGTTTTTATTTTGAGACAAAGTCTCATTAAGTCACTAAGCTATCCAGACTGGGCTTGAATTAGAGATCTCCTGCCTCAGCCTCCCAATGTGCTGAGGTTACAGATGTCCTCTATGCCCAGCCATCTGGGTCCAGCTTTGATGACCCCTGGGCAAGAAAGCCGTCAGGATGTCTCTGGAGCAATTCTGTCTGGGTCCCCGCTGAGCTGTGGAGAGCCTCCGAGCAGCAGAGGAAGAGCCGTGGACCTGTCTGGCCCGAGGGTCCTGGGCAGGCTGGGTGAGAAGCACTGGCACTGGCTGTGAAAGGTGAGGACAGCAGGGTGACAAGCTTGCTCAGGGAAAGGTCCCATGGTCAGGAATGCTGGACAGAGGCTGACTGCCCACTGTGGGATCAGCAAATTACACAGCCGCTGGGGTGACAGGGTCCGGCCTGCGTGAAAGCTCCCTGCCTCTGCTCAGCCTTCCTTCGGGCTGGCCAGTGGGAGCACCTCTGGCTCTCCTTCCTGTGAGTCCTGGCTCAGTCACTCTCTGCTCTGGCCTCTCCAGGAGGCCGATTTCCTGGCCATACCGAACCCCAGGCCCGGCTGAGTCTCAGCCAAGCAGCAGAGGCTGTGGGCTGTGCAGGTTCCGTCAGGGCTGGGGATGCCGGAACCTGGCTTGGGTGTTCTCCAGGGGGTCAGCGCAGCAGGGTAAGGCAGGGCGGGGTGCCTGAAGTTCAGGATGGGGTCCAGATACTCAGGGCTGTTCTGGGGCAGGGTGAGGGTGTCCCACAGCAGGGCAGCTGCCGCCCCAGATGATGGGGTACCCTCCTCAGCTGCTGCCCCTACACCTCCTGTAAGGACAGCAAGGCGCTTGGATACTTCTGAGCAAGCAGTGCACGGGATGTGGCAGTGCCCATCGGCCAGGGTTCGAATCCCTTTAGCCACAAGCTCTGCAGACAGCAAGGCACCGTGCCTGTGCGACCCCGTTCCTGCTGGGCCCTGCCCTGCCTGATCAAAGCTGTGGAATCCACCAGAGGTTTTCAGCACCTCCTGCCCTCCGCAAAGCCCACAGCTGTGCGCAGCCTGCTCTGCTCTGAGCCGCTCCCTGCCAAGATCGGCTGGGCTCACAGTTGTTTCCGGCTGTGTGAGAAGTGAACCAAGGTCCACTTGGCCCCAAGGGAGGTAGATGGAGCCCGGAGCTGGCCCAGGCACCTGAAGCCTCCTCAGTGGCCTCCTCCTTCCAGTGACAAGGTCCAGCCAAGCCCCAGATCAGGTTCCCACGCTTATGCTCTTCGGCATGTGTGACCATACCAGGCAGGGCAGGCAGGCTGGCCCTGGCGGGGCAGTGCGAGCAGTAGACGCAGGCAGTGGGACACCAGGCCGTGCCACCTGGTGAGGTCCCATGTACCCCTGTGCCTTCCCCAGCAAGGGGCCACGGAGCACCCTTGGGGAAAGGCTAGGTGACACAGGGAGGCATCCTGGTGAGTGTTCAGCCAGGTCATCACAACAGCCAGGGCCTCGGCCGGCCCTGTGCCTCCTTGAAGCCATATCGAGAAAGTGACAAAGGCCGGGGAGGGAGGGGTAGGGCCTGGACTCGTCCTCCTGACTGCAGCAGGGCCGGGGGGCTGCAGACCCAAGCTGCACCGAGTTCGCCGCATGCTGTCCCAGTGCAGGCTCACAGCTTCTTGCTGTGACTACTGCTGACGGCTCCCAGGTGGGGGCGCAGAGCCCTGCAATGCACAGGGCCCAGGCCCCCAGACAGGGCTTCCCAGGGCCCTCGGGCCAAGGCCTGGCTTTTGGGGTTCAGCAAATTACATAGCCGCTGGGGTGACAGGGCCCGGCCTGCCTGAAGGCTCCCTGCCTCTGCTCAGCCTTCCTTCGGGCTGGCCAGTGGGAGCACCTCTGGCTCTCAGCGCCATGGGGCTCTGATGCCCCAGGCCAGGCTGCTGGCACTCAAGGATTTTGCTGCCCCAGGGCATGGGGAGACAGCACCCCAAAGCTCAAGGCCAACCCAGCCTTGGCCTGGGTCCTAGGGCAGCCAAAGATCCTGGGGTGCCTTGCCCACCCTGTAAAGCACCGTGAGCCTGGAAGCCCCAGTCTGGAGAACCCGCTCGGCACCGCCCTCCTGTCCCCTGTCCTCCCTGGCCTCTGCTGCCAGGGCCAAGCACAGGTGGCTATATTTCTACCCTGCAGCCCTCAGGGCCTGGCGGACCTCGCTGCAGCCCACGCCTCTTCTGGGAGGCAGCTGTGGATGGGGAGGAGGTGGGCGGGTACCTGTCGTGTGCTGAGCCCTGGGTGAGCGCGGGGCCAGGAATCGGAGTGGACAGCGTGCCGCGTGTCCTGTCGTACTTTCACCTTCCCTTTCTTTGCAGTACTGCAGGTCGCTGCTAGGTCCTCATGGCCGGCAAATGCTCTACCACTGAGCTCCACCCCGGCCCTATTTATGTGGAGACGGGGTCTCACTAGGTCGCCAAGTCCCCCAGCCTGGGCTTGAACTTGTCATCCTCTCGTCTCTGCCTTTCAAGCAGCTGGGGTGACAGACGTGTGCCACTGAGCCCAGCTCACGTGTGACTTCTGATCTGAACTTTGTGGGCCAAAACCACAGCCCTTCCGCCTCGGACTGTGGCCACCCTGCTTTTCTGCTGAGGAGGGTGGGGCGTGGCCACACTGTCTCCTCACCCCTCCTCGGAGTACGCACCGATGGCCTGGGAGAGGACCCGGGCCCTGCCCAGCGGGTGACGGCGAGCCTGCTCACCCGCAGTGGCGGGAAATCGCTGCTCACCCTTTTCCCCACTGTGTCCCCAGTGCCCACGTGGCTCAGATGCAGTGAGAGCACCGAGCCTGACCAACCCACTGCCTGGGGAGAGCCCCACCGGCCGGCCTCCTGGTGGTTCCCGCAGCTCAGGCGCAACCTGTGAGCACTAGAGGGCGCCCTGGACCCGCGGGAAGACGGGGAGTCCTGGGGGGGGGGCGGGTATTCTCAGGGGCTCCCCCTGCCGGGCAACCGACCTCCACCGGGCAGGAGCCGTCACCCAGCAGCTGTCTCTGGGCTCCCCTGGGGCCATCTACCTGACTCTCCTGCAGCTGAAGCGGGGCTCATGGGGTGGCAGGCGCCCGAGGGCACATGGCCTGGGGACGCTCGCAGCCTGTCTCTGTCCACCGCACGGGCGGGCTGCACGCAGGGCCAGTAAATCAGGAGAAGCCAGTAG